CCACAGAACAAAGATGACGTAAGCAGAGTAGGGAAGTCAAAGCTGTATATATCATTCCCTTATTAGGATCAATATCCTTGATCACTTAACTTACATGGACGTGAGATCTCCGTCGGGCTATTGTAAGTTTACAAAAGCCTGTCCATAAGAACTCATTCAGGATTTCGGGATATTCTAATTGATTATTCTACATACATACGAATAACATTAATAGTCCATAAAAAGTCCATATCTAGTCCATGGCTACTAGTTGTCCATCGATCCAAGTCCAATACATATCTATTATCTATACTTCGGCTCTACCACTAGCATTGCTATCCGTACGGCTCGAAAGTCCATCTGCATCCGTGTCTGTCATATCTTCTGTATAATTCGTGCTCTCTTCAGCGTTATGGTTGCCTTGATCGCCAAACGCCATAGTAGAAACGGTATCTACACAAAAGCAAGAGAAATATATTGTAAGTACCCAAGAACGACGCCGTCGGGACTCGAAAGCGAGCCAGTTAGTAATGAAAGAACGTACCATCGGGGTCATATGAACGAGCCGGTTTCGCTAGCGTATCTCCATGGGCGACGTACAACCCTTCATCGTGGACTCTGTGTAGGTGGAGCATGAGTCGGGACATCAAAGTGACTGATGTGCTGTATTGGAGATGAGCGAATGAATACAGCTTAGCCTTTCGCATACTTACCAGCTGGCAAAAGGTGAAAAGGTTCCTCTCAACAATGAGTCCTGCATGCAAGAATCAGATAAGTCGGAAGGGACTTGTATTATATGACAGGAGGGACGTACGCCAGTGACCTTCAAAAAGAGTCCAACAGTCAATGGAATCCAAAGCAGATTGTGAAGGAAGTCACTTACAAAAAATGTGAGCACGTTGATTAGATTGGCGATTACCATTACTCTGTACCATCCGTCAGGTTCTGGTGCTGGATATTACCTGAATGTTTGTAGAAGTAGACATACCCAAAATACATGGAGCCTATATAACCCGGAAAAGGTCAGATCACTGCGAACGCCAGGTGAAAGATAAATAGACTGGACTGACCATCCCGAATGATAATAGTAAACAGAGACAACTTCATTTTTGGTTGAGAGCGCGCTTGGTAGGCTTTGAATAGGGTCATGCTGAAGAGTAGAGTATCGTATACGAGAACGAGGATCCAGCCCGTAGAAACCACTAAGAGAAGAGAAAATTTGATTTGGATACACGTAGAGTGGTGAAACAAATGCACGTACAAGCGGAGCTACGTGTAGGATGAGCATCATCCGAGTCAATAAAAAACAGTTGGCCACTCACTTTTCCAAACTTAACACATCGTGACACCCGATGGGAAACAACGACACAGCGGCTGTTGAGTCAGAGAAATAGAGGGAGACCTAGAGAATCCACCGATATCCCAACTAGTGAGTGTGCGGAAACGCAAAGATCGGGAAATTTGAAGTCTTACAATGGTGGCACAAATCCCGGATACAATGATAAATACAAGTCCCGCGATAACCCGTTTGTCGCGTTCGTAAAGCGCGACTATCCGCATAGTCAATAGTACTAGAAAAGAGTGAAATCGTCCATTAGCTCCGCTCACCAGTCCTAGCGGAACGGAAGTTCGGCGATGGGGAGGAACTTACTAGCGACGATGACCTGTACGAACGCTATACGGGAGAGATAAAGATAGGTAAGAAGGCGGATGCATTCGGAGAATTCGGAACCTACCATGGAAAAATTCTTGAAATTCTTCCCATGGATGACAGCTACGGTAAAGTAAGTAGGCCGTAAGAATCGGTAAGATGACCATCTTTGAAGAGAGCTGCTGACCTCTACGAAACGTAAAGGTAGATGGCAAAAACATAAGCGATCCCATCCACGTACCCCCCCCAAGAATTAAAATGATGAATCAACTTACCGATGCACCGGCTGGGGCGAAGAACATCGATAACAGTATCACGATGTTCCCCCCAAATGAAAAATATCTGTTTATCAGGAATAGCCGACTGCTAAACTTGCTCAGTCGGGACCAGATAAATCGTACTTCGGCATCTGTGGATTGTCAGTTTGGGGTATAATTATCAAACTATCAGTTGAAGGCTTACCAAAGGTGAGGAAATGGTCGTAATAGAGGAATGCTGAAAATTTTCCAACGAGTGCGGGAGAAGAGTGAGTAAATTAGAAGGTCCAGGTGCTGAACGAACTGACTGAAGGCCAATAGGTAAAGGTAGCTATCTGTCCGCCTGTAACGTCGAAGCGGTTAGATTGCCCGTTTATCGATCATGTTGAGCATGCTTACAATTGCGTCTCTAGGGTAAAATTTCTGGAATCCATTTCTGTTGGCGGATTTGGGGGAGGGAGCGGAGTCTATAAAGATTTAAGAGGCTGGTCCTTCCTGGTTCATAAATACAGCAAATTGTATGTTGGCGATGGCACAGCGAACGATAAACTCCATTTTCGAAGGAAGGAACGGGATCAAAACCTCCCATATAGTTATTTTGACAGAAAGCTTGACGGAATTTCCACTCGGAGAGTGGAGTCCATTTACCATTATGTTGTTTTCAATTGAGTAGAACTCACGCTCTCAGCCACCAGTTTGAATAGAACTCGGGAAAAGTGCTGGAAGAACCGTCGTCTTATCACCTGGTTGGCGCTCCGAGAAAGCGAAAAGGTACGATATCGTATCGTCTGTGTATCGCCAAAGAGTGGGGGGCCATGAGAGAGCGGTGAATATTTGAGAGTCCTGGGAAGTGGAAGATGATTAGATAGCGAAAATAGACTACTGGCAGCTGAACGTCGGAGATTCAACAGAGCGTCTTTCAAAATAGAAAGTTGATAGATTATGACCGCAAGGCGCACACAGCTCTTTGCGCGGGATTGAGAAGCGGAGCAAAGACAAGCTGTGTTCATAAAGAGATTCTGGAACGAAGAAGGTCGAACACCAGACCTAGGCCTCAGTTACAGCAGGAGTCATACCGTCCTGATAGACGAAGGATGACCTATGACCAACGAAGATTGAGATCCATGAATTGGAGACTAAATCTGACGGTTCAAGAGACCAAGAACTTGAATAAATTCCAGGCTATTTTGAACGATATTTGAATTTATCATTGTCAAGTTGTTACTGTGGATGAAAAGATGGCAGGCAGCTCGAAGTAAGGAATGGATATCAGTACTAAGTTCTGAGAAACATCTCGCTGTGCTCCGATGATCCCCTATGGCAGTTGGTCAGAAATTCTAGGAATGGAGGAAAGGCTGGGATCCAAGCGGCTATCACTTGCCTATCACTAAGTTTAACGCCGCTCTGATTTCTTGCTTTGACCATGATCCCCTTCAACGCGGAGCTTTGGCCATGTCCTGCCCTGTCTTGCCATTGTACAATCTTGTTCAAGTTGCTGTTTGCTGAGCTCTGGTAAAAGCTACTCAGGGTCAACGTGTGGAGATTTACTATATGGCCAAGACGTCCATCAGTCAATTTAATGACATTATTTACGTTCGGTTATCTCAGGGAAGAGCTCAAGTCTCTTTTTTTCGCTTTTACTATTGGGATGCTCAGGTGAAGTCGTACAATGAACGTTTTGCAGCAACTTGACCTGCAAAGGGATTCTTCTGACCCGCTCCCTTCTCCTGATCTCAACCACAAGATCCTTCGTATGTCCTCGAGCTCACCGCAGAAAATCACTTTATTCTGACCGCTATGCACAGTGTCTGCATACGTAGGGATGACTTTTGCTGCAGTCACCACAATCCTGCGTCTTACTCTTCGAATTCGATATTTTGGTTGGGACGACGCGTTCGCCGGCATGGCGCTCATATCTCTCATTATAACCGCAGTAGCTGGGAAAATGTACTTTGGAATCGATGGTAAGTTCTCCGTCTGTTTAACTGTTCTGCGCCCTCTGACAATGCGACCTATTTTACCTACCCTGTAGCATCCAGTACTATGCCCCAAAGCTCCCGAGTCGCTCTTTATTACATCTTTACCATCACCTTCGACACTACCGTCTGGATATCCCACCTGTCCATCCTTTTCACAATCATCCGCCTGGGTGGGTACCCAAAACAGCTATACACTGCTGCTGTGTGCTTTATACTAGCTCTGCTCATCCTGGTCGCCCAAGTGTTCTGGGTCTGCGAACCTCAAAATCGGTATAACCATTGGAAAGACCATCCAACGCCGCAGTGTGTATTGGGGCGGAGCGTAGCGATAACTCAAGTAACGAGTGCGTCACATTTAGTCTCACTTCTTATCCTCGAATCTAATTCAAAAAACGCTCTATTTTAGCTGATGTGTTTGCAGACATCATCCTCGTCGCCGTCCCCCTCTTTCTCCTCCGATACCTCAAATCCGAAGATGCAAAAAGCCAAAAACTTCGTCTGGGCGTAACATTCGTCGTCGGGGGGTTAACCACGTTTGTTTCGATCGTCCATGCGGTATATCTACTCGCCGGCGACAACATATCGCTTTTGGTGAGCAATGTCGAGGTGAGTGTATATGTATTCGAGATCATACTCAGTTTGTGCCTGACATTGCTACTTTTTTATCCCTCCCTTCTACATCCTCCTACTTCCGCTGGTTTCCTCTCCCGTCTGTGTACGAAACGAAAGCTGTCCGTGTCGGTGACGATAGCAAACTTTACTGTCCTCGTTGCTGCATTCCATCGATCATGGAAATCGGTTCGTTCGCGGTATAAGCGTACGAAAGGTAGTAGCAGTGATGGTACGGAAACAAAATTATCGACGATGGTGTATGGTACTCCCCCGTCGTTGTCGTCGTCAGAACTCGAGTCGACTTTGGATTTTTAGACTGAAGGAGTATATTGGGGAGTGAGGGCGTTGGTACTGGTGATGGTGAAAGACATGGGCTGAGGCGCTTGGCGTTTGGCAGAGTCGCCGCGAAGAGATGGACTACATTCGAATCTGTATGATAGCGAGACCGCGTGGCCACATAGTATTGAAATGAAATGTTCATTCTCCAGAGTCGATAAAGTACAGAAGATAGAATGAACCAATGGTTCGATGGCGTAGTTGGTTATCGCATCTGTCTAACATCGCTGGAAGGTATTTGGCCAAGTTTGTACACAGAAGGTCCCCAGTTCGAGCCTGGGTCGAATCATGTTTTGCCGGGGAAAATGGATTATTTTTTTTTTAATAGAAAAAAGACCACCAAGTCGATAGTTAAGACCTTTTTTTTTTGTATTCCATATGAAATGGAAAGGAAAGACTCGTTGGGTAATGAATTGGCAAGCACCATCTATTTAGCTCAAGTCTCATCAATTTCATGTCAAGCTCGTACGACTGGTGGACGGGTCTTGTATCTGAACTCTCATCTGCCCTCGGCTCAGCTCGAATATTATAAGGTCAGTGAGGATTTGATTTGAGTATTTAAGGATACGGTAAGCACATAAATCCTCCATGGCTCGAGTTGGGCGATCTCTGTGGCAATCGCAAAGGTGAGTTGACTGGCATGATAGTTTGCGCTTCTCTCACTTTTTCCTCGCACACTCGTTAGTGGATTGCGCGTTCAACACCATAACTTGGAAGGCTTTCTTCTGACCCCGGATTGCCCTGTTCAGTGCTTCCCCTCGACTCAAGTTATTCAGGGTACTGCTTGCAAAACTTATCGAGGTTCAGAGTCAAAGACGCATCCCAAAATTCTCAGCTCCCTAGTAGCAGATTTAGATTGCCAGGTCGGTCAATGGAGTAGGCCAGTGAAAAAATCGCCTTCTACAGGAGAGGCTTGTGTATGGCATCATGATGAGACGACTGTTGGCAATTTACAGAGTGAGGAAGTTCATTGGATGTAATCAAGATCAGCTGTCACTTGATTGCGGCCATCATCTCTATTGTATCAGCCAATTCTATGATACTCATCTTGTTCGTCTTCATTATCGCAGGAATGTGCCTTGCCTGGAAGCTTGTTTCTCTCACCACGTTCACCGTTAAAATGCTGGAAGGTCTAGATGAAATCGTACTGCAGCTACGATGACTATCTTGCCGCATCTTTACGCGCGAACCGGGGATACCTCTGACTTATTCCCCTCTGTTGACCTTGATCACAGAATCTTCCGCAAGTCCCTTAGGTTACTGCGGAAACGTTTTTCTTCTGACCGCTTTGCCCAGTGTCTGCGTACATAGGAATGACTTTTGCTGGAATTACCACTGTCCTTCGTCTCGTGCTGCGAGTACGATACTTTGGTTGGGACGACGCATTCGCCGTGATTGCGCTGATATCACTTATTATAACCGCAGTAACCGGAAAAATGTACTTTGCACTTGACCGTTCGTTTTTTCATCTTCTTTATCCTTTTGCAAGCTTTGACAATGAGATCTATATTATCTATAGCCTCCAGCACCATGTCTCAAAGCTCCCGAGTCGCTCTTTACTATATCTTTGCCGTCACCTTTGACACTACAGTCTGGATAGCCCGTCTCTCTATCCTTTTTACAATTATTCGTCTCGGCGGGTACAGAAAACAGTTGTACACCGCTGCTGGATATTTTATACTAGCTATGCTCGTCCTAGTTGCCCAAGTGTTCTGGGTCTGCGAACCTCAGAATCGGCATAACCATTGGAAGGACTCTCCGTCACCGCAATGTGTACTCGGGGAAAATGTAGCGATAACTCAAGTAACGAGTACGTTGATCTCATTTTCAGTTTTCAGCTCCCAGCTCTGATAAATACTTGTTTTGTCTCAGCCGATGCCATTGCAGACTTCATTCTAGTCGCTGTTCCCCTTTTTCTCCTCCGATACCTCAAATCGGAGGATGCCAAAGGTCAAAGGCTTCGTCTGAGCGTATCATTTGTCGTTGGAGGTCTAACGACGTTCGTGTCAATTGTACATGCCGTCTATCTACTGGATGGCGACAAAATATCACTTCTTGTGAGCAATATCGAGGTGAGTACTCTGAGCTCGAATGACCGTCCGCAGTTTGTGTCTGACATTGAAACTTTTCATCTCCCCCATTCCACTCATTCTGCTCTCCTTGTGGTGCATGCGTACTAAATACCACTACTGCTACAAAGCTCTGCGTATCGGTGACGATAGCAAACTTTGCCGTGCTAGTGGCTGCTTTTCATCGATTGTGGAAAGCGATTCGTTCGCGGTCTAAAGGTACACATGATACCCGCGGTGGTGCAACGGAGACGAAACTGTCAACGATTGTGTATGGTGCCCGTCCGTCCCCAGAGCACGAGTCAACTTTGGACCATGGTGGTAGTGTGTCGTGGAATGGGAGTGCTGACGTTGGTAGAAGTGGTGAGCATGGATTGGAGAGTATAGCGGAGGTATGATAAAAATGGGATAGGATCGTACACGAAACGGCATAATCGATACTTAACGCGACTGAAATATTGATCCTCAAAGAATGTGATTATTGGGTAACGAGGACGCATTTTTCGTTCTCATCAAAGCTATCTAATGCGGTGCTTCAAACGATGTGCTGCCCCTCACAGTTTTACCGAGCGTCTTGAAGGGAAGCACCATCAGACGAGCACTGGGCACGCGTGTAAGCGATGCACGGGATGAGTGCATCGTTTGAAGAACCCGTAACTTCAATGATACAATCACGAACGCATAAGATTGGTCTACTTCTTCCGATCCTATTTCCCATGTTGTTCATTACTTGAAACCGCAGATCCTTCAAAGTGACAGTCTGGTTCGTACTATCCACTTTGTTCGCGAAGCGACCAGATGTAAGAAATCTTCGGTGGAGTTGCGATCATTGGCGGGCAATGCTGCAACCTGGAGACGGGGGGAGAGCAGGATGATAATAGCGATAAGAAATGGAGAACTTGGCTTGATGCATGAGTTTTCGTTTTATCGCCGCTGCTGCCATTTTGGCGGCTCGGACCCACCGCGGTAGTAGGATCAACTCGACAGGATCGCTTTCTTGACCTCTACGCAGGTTTGATCACGGTCTAAAGACTCCCCAGCCGACTTTAGAAAAGGTTGCGGTTGAGCTCGCTGTGCTCTGGCTTGAAGTCTTTAGCCGTTACCCTTTGGGACCCCGCATGCGAAGCGTATATGCAGTATTTGTGTAAGTTGCAGCTAACTGCCGTTTAATCACCTTCACTCTTATCACGGACCTTGTGGTGGCTTGTCTTTCCCTCGTCTATGGTTTGGATTGCGCGTTATACGCGCCCACTCGGTGGTGTCGTTTTCACCTTGGATTGACATGTCTATTTGAGCGCGCATATGGGTGGTGCCATAGAGCTAGTTTCGAATATCTCCAAGATAACTTGTTCTCTTCAACTACATGATAAAGAGGATTCCAGTGAGCGAGCTGTCGTCACTGCCTGCTTGCAAAAGTGGTAAAAGCCACGAAATCATCCAAGCTTACCACACCTTCGTGAAGCGGGAGATCTGAACAGGAAAGAATAATCTCCGGCGAATGGACCAGGAGATTTTTCGTAAACCGAAGACGAAGAATGAAAGGACTACCGTTAGCGGGAGACCCCGTAATGATTTGGCATCGAATCGCTCGCGCCTTAAACTTGCCTTAAATAGTCCGAAATCTTCCTCCCTCCTTGTTCGTCGAACGTAACCGCTGTTCGCTTCCGTTGATCTGACGGTCTATCAGCCTTTTCACCTGCGTTACGATGGATGATCTTAGTCTTCATCATTGAGCGGAGGAAATCACCATTATTGCCTCTTGCCATTTTGACCCTTTATATCGGGATGCACAAAAAATGCATGGGCAGACACGATGACCCCCCTGCAGCATGTTGACATGCAAATGGATGTCTCCAAGACTTTCCTTTCTCCTGAGCTTGAGCATAAAATTTTCCGTACGTACCCCATCTTACTTCGCAATTTTGGCCACTTATAGATCGCTCTGCTCAGTGTCTGGCTACACAGGAATAACTTTGGCTGGTTTAACCACTATTCTCCGTCTTGTACTGCGAATGCGATACTTCGGTTTGGACGACGTATTCGCCACCATGATGGGAATCTCTCTCCTGATTTTAGCAGTTGCTGGACAACTTTATTTCCAGCCTGACGGTATGTTTTTCTACTTTTAATTTTGTTTCCAGGTTTGATGATGCGACGACACATGCAACAACTCTGTAGCTCCCGGTACCTTATCGCAAAGTTTACGAATCGCTCTGTACTATATCCTTGCGGTAAACTTCAATACTACAATCTGGCTAGCCCGTCTCTCCATTCTCTTCACAATCATTCGTCTCGGCGGTTACAGAAGGCAACTGTACACTGTTTCCGGGTGTTTTGTACTTGCAATGCTTCTCCTTATCGCCCAAGTATTTTGGGTCTGTGAGCCTCAGAATCAGTATAATCACTGGAAGAGCGAGGCGCTGCCCCAGTGTATAGAGGGCAAAAGCATAGCAATTGCTCAAGTGACGAGTAAGTTTCACTGCTTAACATCTCCAACTCTTGCTAATCACTGACATTATTTCTACAGCTGATGCGTTCGCAGACCTCGTCCTAGTTGCTGCACCTCTCTTCCTCCTCCGACAACTCCAATTCAAAGATTCAAAAGGTCTAAAATTTCGTCTGATTGGATCGTTCATTGTTGGAGGTTTAACAACGTTTGTTTTGATTGTCCATGCTATGGAAATTCTGGAAAGCGACAAGATTTCGCTTTTCGTCGGCAATGTCGAGGTGAGTGATTTGCATTTGCTGAGATTCAATCCCCGTTCACTCTTCCGTCCTATAATCCATTCTGCCGGGCTTACCATGCGTGTATACTATCAAGCTCGCTGTATCTGTTATGACAGCGAATTTTGCCGTTCTGGTAGCTGCGATCCTACGATTGTGGAGATTATTTCGCTCGCGGTACAAGCGCACAAATAATAGCCAGCATAGCATGTTAGAGCCAAAGATGTCGACGATTGTGTACGGTGCTCCCCCTTCGGATCTAGAGCGCGGATTGTCACTGGATCAGGGTAGTAGGACGTCGTAAGGTGAGATATAGACCGTTGAAGATGTTGGAAATGGACAAGGACGGTTTGAGAAATGGGCTCCGCTGTTGTGCAAGTATCTACACATTGCCCTAGAGTTATTCAATAACGTAGCTAACTATTGCCTATGGTACCAGCTCTAATCCTACCCAGCAAGCAGCACCGCCTTGATAAGGTAAGCCAGGAATTCATAT